AATCAGGATAACACGATTATCATTGATTAAACATTTACTGATTATCTTAGTGTGTGTTATGTTATATTAGGTCTCCAGTTTCATATTTCATCACAGGATACAGTTCTTAGGAATAAGACAGTTTTGCATGGACTTGGAAAGAAGCACTCGAACAGTTGGTGTTAAGCAATTTTAATTCTAAACAAACACGTGACACTCTAGTATGCAAAGGCGAAAGCATACGTCAATAAATCCATGGGCAAGATTATGCAATTAACGAAATTGAATGACTAAAACACTTCTTATTCATGTAACTCGACGACAGCAACTGCTTTGCACGATCAGTTGATTTGAACAGCACCACCTTGAAATGGCAACCCTTTTTGAAACGCAAAGATAACTTTTGAAAATCTTATTCGTGTGCGTGTTGTGTGTGCGTTGTCCTTTGTAAAATTAATTAAATTTTTCTTAGAGCCGGGAGTTGTGTCGTTAGCTTGTGGGGTGGGGGAGATACAACCAGCTCTTTAGAGGTTCCTCTCGCTTGGGCGTGGCCGCAGCGAGCTCATGCTGTCTCCCTTTCTCCACTGCTCGATTGAGTGGCGTTGGCACGATGTCCGCCGTCGTGGTGCGCGATGATTCCGTCGTCGGATAGCGTGCAGCTCCTCCACGAGTCGGCACGACGCTCGGTGACGTACGAGTCGTGCTGCTTGTGCGCTCTCTCTCCCTCTACTGCTGGACGACGAGTTGGACACGACGCTCGGTGACACCCGGGTCGTGCTGCTGCTGTCGCTCTCTCCTTGATCGCTGCCAACTCATCCGCTGCTGCTCGTCCTTTTCGATGCTCGCTTGGTCGACGCTTGGCGATTTCCGCCCTTTTACAGGTTGATTGCTTGTCGTCACTCGTCACTCTCTCTTCTCCGTGCTTTCCTCTGTTCGTGCAGCTGCCAGCTTCACTCGCACTTAACTTCGTTCTGCGAGAAGCGACACCTGCTTTTGGCATTGGTGTTTGCTCCCTCACGACGCTCCGCCAGCCGGAGCACGGCTGAAACCCAGCCTCGACCTTGGTTGAACTCAGACTTCTGCGACTCGAACGACCCCTCCTCGTTCCATCACTTCTCGAAGGCACAACGCGCCCCAGCTCCCTTGCGAGTCCCGTCGCAACGCTGCGTCGCAAGCCGAGTCGCGAGACTGAGCGCGACTTGAACAGACTGCACTCAGGCGGTCACTCTACGACCCCTCGTCGTCCCATCTCTCCTCGAGGCACGATCTGCCCCAGCTCTCTTGCGAGCCCCGTCGCAACGCCGAGTTGCAAGCCGAGTTGCGAGACTGAGCACGACTCGAATCAGACTACCCTCAGGCGGTCACTCTACGATCCCTCGTCGTCCCATCTCTCCTCGAGGCACGATCTGCCCCAGCTCTCTTGCGAGCCCCGTCGCAACGCCGCGTCGCAAGCCGAGTTGCGGGACTGAGCACGACTCGAACCAGACTGCTCATTCGTGATGTGCGCTTGTGCTTAAACTCAAAACGTGACTCCCCTCTCTGCGCATCTCTTGCGAGAGAAAACAAACAGAAAAAAAACAGATGTCCCAGCTATGCCAGCACAGACCCCCCCCCCCCCTCGCGACCCTTTGACTCCCTTTGCTCCCTGCTTGCCCTGCGTGGGTCATCCCGAGGCCAGACCCCGCTGGAAGACAAAGGTGGTCGAGGAGATTTATGCAATACCTTATGTGGTCCTGTGTGTTACATTTATTCTTGATATTTCTTATAAGTTCCCTCGGTCTTAGTATCGTGGTTATTATTTGTCTATGTTTAATGAATATTCGTAATGATCCTCGTTACATCATTATTTTGAGGGCTTCGCCAAGTTTAGTTCTCCAGAGATTGGTGTTTTATTCTGAGTTATATTTTAATGTCCTGAGGTTAAGTGTAACTAAGTTTCCACTTAAGCTTTCTGGAATTCGTACTCTTTAGTTTTTAGAAAGGTCATGTAGATAGAAAACATATAATTCTAAATAATATGTATGCGGTGAATACGAGTAATATAAGAGAATTACTAATAAAAAGACCCTATTGTTTGTTGGTTAATTCTTTTTGTTAAGTTTCTACTTTTCAGTAAGGAAAACGTTAAGGAAAACGCGAGTTGCAACCGTTGTTATCCTTTACTCTGCACCTTATCTGTGCATCTCCAGATGTCTTGGGAGGTTAGTCCATCGATATTTTGTCCATCTGGATGTCTGACCTCTCTGTGACCGAATTCTTATCGTTTTAATGGCCCTCCATGTTTCATAGATTCCTGGTGTGCTTGTGAGTGTTGTGGGTTGTTTTCATTATTTAATTAAAAATATATATATAAAAACATTGTTTTCTTAATTATTCTTAATATTAATAACAGAAAACAGGGCATAGATACAACAACCCTCTGGCATAACTCCCTATTCGCCCTAGCAGCTTTAGTACACCTGAGTCCAAAACTGAGGAATAAGGAAGTTCACCCAGATCTGGGGCCCCCTCGTGAATGCCACTCCAGAGACCCTGAGTTTACTTGATTTAACTTGAAATGAGACTGACCCCCCTACCTCTTCCTCTCTCTTTCACCCTTCCTTCCCGGAAGCAAATGGATCTGACGCACATACTACATAACGCTCCGGTCCTGCACGTCCGTGTTGGTTTTCTATCTGAGCCGCTTGTCCCGCTGTGCACCACTCACCTGTCACAGAAGTTGTACACCGCCCCCCCCCCCCCCCCCGAGGTTGGATCAATAACAATCGTTTTACAACAACAAAAAACACTTCAGCGAAAAATGTGTCCCCTTGAATAACATTGCCTCCAGAGTTGCATTGACTCTAGAACAGGAGCTGTGGATTGGTGTCAATCATGGGTGTGGATAGGTTTTAGGGCTCCATGGCCTGCCCAATGTGCAGATGAATAGCTCAACAATAACAGGCAACTCGACCATTTTGTATACACGTGCTACACCCATTCACTCCATCCTCTACGGGTATGGCGCAATACAAGCACGCGTACATCACTGTGCTTCAGTGATGTACACTTGACTGTATTGCTTTTGTCATTTTCGTGGCCCATGTCGCTCTTATGAAACTCAACCGGTCTCTTGAGTTTTCACCTGTTTAAACAAAATCAATTTGAAACTTGACGTCATGAGGTGTTTGAACGTCGTGATTTTACTGAAGTTCCTCTTCGGCAAAACCACAAACTCACGTCAGGACCCGGATTACACAGTGCAGGTTTAAGCTGCACGCAATTAGTTTAGATCAGAGTCGGATCGGATATGATTTATCTGATAGGATTGATAAATCCAATCCGATCCAAAGATGAGAATGGCTGAATGTAAATGGAAACCGAACATGATTGGGCTACGTCCCTGATTGGTTGAACTGTATTCCACAGCATGTTATTATGAAATAATAATCAGCTGATGGTGATAATTGTATTAATTTCGACCTGTATTCCATGTTTCCTTTAAACGAGAGAAAGCCAAGAAAACATGGATCAGATTTGATTGGCTCAAAATCGTATTTAGGGTTTTATCACACCTGATACGATCTTGTCCAATCAGATTCGAAGTGTGCACCCTTTAGACCGTGTAGTCAACCATAAATAATTTATCGTAATATACATTTGTTGCTCGTGTTTAAACCAAGTAACATTTATACTCTTTGGTTTTTCGGTAAAGTCACGTAGGCTAAAAAAAGAAAACAAATAAATAAAATCACGACGTTTCGGAGGCAACACAAGCTTCCATCTTCAGGTGGAACCGTCACAGCAAAATTACTATATCAAGTGAAGAGAGCTCTAAGAGACACGACCTTATATACTGGTTAACGGGGAGGGGGGAGGAGCCAGGATGGACCGTGGGAGGGGGTATAAGCTGGTGAGGTGACGACCTGTGCTGCAGCTGTGGCTACGCCTGGAGCTTTGTGATGTAGATGGCGGAAGTAGATAAGCAACCTAGGATTAAGCCACCTTTTGTTATATTCCAAAGCAGGCAAGCAGTGTGTGAAAAGCTTAAAAAAACTACTATGGCTGTACAATTATAAGGCAGCTAGAGTTTGGCTTGGTTGATTACATTTTTCCAATGATTTCTTAATTAAAACATGTACATCTGACCCTCATGATGAACGGATACTCTGACCGTACTATCCGCCAAGCTGTTTCTCCCACCATGCATAAACAACCACCTGAAACTCCGATCAAAATCATCACGTTGCCATACATAGCAGGTGTTACAAAAAAGATTTCCAAAATTCTAAACAAACAAGATCCAGGTCCGATTCAATACAGTACATAAAATCCGTGATTTGATCTCATCCGAAAAGGATGTCATTCCTGACTTACAGTACCCCGGTGTTTACAAATTGAGTTGTACGTGTGGTGACTGCTACACGGCAGAACGAATTCTTCGGCCGTAGCTGATCATTGTTTCAACACAGCGGGTTCTAATGATATTGTTTCCTCCCGGGTACTACCAAAGATTTGTCCATGAAGCCATCTAGATATGCAAACATAGACACAACTTCAACCGAGAGGATGGTTTTAAATTAAGCAATCATATATAAGGTCGTGTTTCTCTTAGAGATCTCTTCACTTGATACAGTAGTTTTGCTGTAACGGTTCTGCCTGAAGACGGAAGCTTGTGTTGCCTCCGAAACGTCATGGTTTAATTTATTTGTTTTCTTTTTTAACCTACGTGACTTTACCGAACAAATCAAAGAGTATTGATCCTTGCAGTCACGAAAACTTCAAATCTACATGTAACATTTAATTTGAATGGATTTAATAATTGTCCAAATTAATATTTGGTGTATGGTTAGAGTAATGGATTGGCAATAATATGTCAGTAGTATGGTCCTAGTTGTGTAGTTTTACTCACATCAGCATTAAGATACATTATCTTCTATCAATCTGTGTAGCGAGCATGGAATAAAGAGTATTGCATTATTTTCGCACTCCTCTTGTTAAGCATTCTCCAATTAATCCCCAAATTTGTTTCTGTTTCTCAGGATAATCTGCAAGATGAAACGTACGAGAATTTATATTAGCAAAAGTGAAACGGACTGTTGGCTTAATAAATATACTAATCATGGAGTCGTCATTTTCATGCTCATCTTCTTTGGTTATTTCAGTAAAGTCACGTAATAGAAAATAAAATGTAAATAAAATGAACAAAAAAATAATATAAACGCAAAAAACCCACGACGTTTCGATCGCAACACAAGCTGTCTTCACTGAAAGAACCAAATAATATAAATTCTTGCAGTCACAAAAGTTTTAAGTCAAAATTCATGATCATCATTACAGCAGGAACAGCAGCAGTGTTGCCCTCAAACGCCGAGGCTTCTGCCCGCTCAATCGACCACCTTCGATTAATCTCGGTCATCTTAATCCGCCATTGTTCCTCTCGCTTGCTTGTGTGCATGTATCGGGTAACATTCGCACGACCTACCGAGCCATGAGTGTGTCGTTTCTGATACTTTGTGGGTCTTGAATTAAAAAAAAAATTATTGCGTAAATATTCGCGGTCCTTTCAACACATTTCACCACACTCCACTCCGGTTTTTGCGGTTAACATTATTAAAATAAAAATATGCTTACATTTTCGCACTTAGACATTCCACCACCTCTTACGTCATGCCCGTCGGTATTCACAACTTAAGACGGTGCTGGCATCTTAGCACCTGTGTTATGCCACATATGCCCTAGAAACTAGACGAGTGGAAAGATCAGAACCCGGGTGGTATGAGATTAAAGAAGCGATAGCAACTACAATTGTGCCAAACTGAGCACTTCCTCATCTGATTAAGTTATACGAACTTGACACTTGGGTATGGTAATTCTATTTCTGAACGGGCTCCCATCAGCCGCCCAGCTACATTATTTACAAGTCTGGTCTAAAGAACATACAACCCGCATAGAAATATCCGCATTACATGCCATGTTATGGTTGTAAAGCAAGCATTGCTCAACTTCAGCACGTCATGCCTGGAAATCTTTAGAATTAAATACTAAAAGTTCCCATATGAGTTGAATGGTTCACCTTTAACATTCCATGAGCACTGATGCCCTCCAAGTCTTGTACAAGCAAAATACATTCGTTTGGCACACGGATCAAAGGATAACGTTGTCACCAACATAGATTTAACAAAAGACAAAGGTGTGTATTTGTAATAAAATCTCTCATCCTATCCAGACCACCAGCTCATAAGAACTGCATGTGACCATATTGTCCCTTTAGACCACCAACTTAAAAACTTTAGAAAATGTGTCCATCCCAACTGGCAGCAGTGAAACAAATACATCAGCACAGCACAGTCATCAATATTCGCTTGTGTCATATGCCTGTTGGAGCCTTATTTATTGAAAAGACGTATAACCTTCATATTTTGCTTGCAAGAGTTGTGACGTGGATCAGCGGGCCCGGTCTGGAGCACGCTAATCCTGGACCCTTGATTGGCCACTCCGACAGCCACTCCGGGAGCTGCAGAGATTATTAATGCGCCAGGAAATTGGCCAGGGAATTCAAAGGCAAAAGAGTGGGAAAGAAAGGACGGAAGAAAGAGATGGCGGTTAGCGGTGAAGGTTGTGTAGAGAGGATTATTGAAGGAGGAAACTTGGGTCGAAGTTCGAGGAGATTCAAGAAGGTTAGAGAGAAAGATCGAGGACATATATAAAAGGGTGTGTGACGTGAGCACGGGCCTCTTGCCGAGATAATGAAAGAATAGACCTGTGGTGGAACGGAGCGGGATGAAGAGTGCACGTGAAGTGTCAAAGACTGTTGGACAATAAAGTATCTCCATTGGAACCTCACTTACCTAGTAACAAATATGATAATTGTTTTTTTACCCTTTTATCTGGCAACAAAACTGACACCTTTTTTTACAAGGAGTCATGTTTGCATAGACCACAATACCTGCAGTCATAATGCAAACAAAAAACATAACTCTGCTAATATATGCACTGTCCTTGAAGTTGATTGGTCCACACCCGAGACAGCTTTCCTTAGAGCATAGTCTCACATGGGTTGGACCAGATGACGTCAAAAGGCGCACAACTCAAAGACAATACACCATCAGAGTATGAGTGCTCGGGGTAAGCATTTACACCATTGGAACCTCATTTGCCATCTGGTCCAACCCATGTGAGACTAGGCTCTAAGAAAAGCTGTCTCGGGTGTGGACCAATCAACTTCAAGGACAGTGCATATATTATCAGAGTTATGTTTTTTTGCTTGCATTATGGCTCCAGGTATTGTGGTCTATGCAAACATGACTCCTTGTAAAAAAGGTGTAAGTTTTGTTGCCAGATAGAAGGGTAAAAAACAATTATAATAAAGTATCTCTCAAAGAAAAAACGTGTGGACCTCATTTACACAATATTTAATCTAGCGTTGACCTAGATGTAATGTTTAACCTTGTATTCATTTCGTGGCGCAATATCTGGCCTAGCGTTTACAGACATGTCTCACCTAACGAGCGAGATATGTTCCATAAAAATTGTTCAGTAAGCGAAAACCTAATTAAATAATCATCCTTTTCTCATTGATTCCCATGTTAAAAACTGAGATACGTTTCAGTCCCAAAACTTTTTTAGTTGAGAAATACATATAATTTTTAAATAAAGCAATAAAATGTAATACTTACCATACATAGAGAACCATAGTGATTGCAGGTGCCTGGCATTTATATTATTTTGAGGATAGATGTTAGTGGGTGGAGGGAGCAGCAGAGGCCATGCAGGACCGCGGGTTCAAATATCACTCGCGCACTGATGTTAGCCATGGCTAGGAATCGACCCAGGGTCGCTGGGTTCATAGTCACGTTCACAGCGTCCGTAATTAGTGTCGCCACCCACCATTTCCCTCAACCCACCTATTATAGTGCTACCATGAGGCACCTTCCCCCACACGACGAAACACGCGGGCACACAGCACAGGATAGTTGTTAAACAAACAGTTGTGGGCCACAGCGCGCACCCTGCCACCACGGGACACATTTATCAATCGGTCTCCACTCGATAAACTAACTTTTGCTCATTTTGCAAACAAATGTGTCTAAATCCAAATTGCTTGTTATCGTGAATTATCACAGGATGAACGCTCGATCAGCAAGACACGACTGTAATTAGTGATACTGTGTTTTGGTTAAGCGTTTATTAGTACAGGGACAGGAAATGTGAATCAATATCAGTACATGTGTAGGACTTGAGATAACTACGCGTCACACGTTTGGTTGTGATACGGATGTGCGGCCGACAGTGAGGGCAACCAGGGACACAGGGGGCGGGGCGCCATACAGTTGTTGTTGCGCCAATTAAGGGGGTGAGGTAATTAAGGGACAGCCGCAGGTGTTAGGGGTAACTGAGGACACAGGCCGGTGATTGGTCGAGAGGGTAAGTGTCTGGGACCAGCGTCGGAGTGTCTACAACAACAACATCACGTGAGGCTGGGGGCCTGGGGACGAAGGGAAGAGCTGGGGGATGACATACTTAAGTGGGGCTAATTGGTTCGGGGATAAAGGCAAAGAGTGTGGCGGAGAAACTGGAGTTGGTGTTGGAGTCGGAGTTGGAGTTGGTGGCTGGGACGGAGACGGAGCAGCAGAGAGTATAGATACGATAGCAGCAGACAAGAGAGTATAGATACGATAGCAGCAGACAAGAGAGTATAGATACGATAGCAGCAGACAAGAGAATACAGTATCGGATAGCAGCGGAGTAACGGACCTTGATAGAGAATCTACGACGGAGTGAGATGGCAGGGGGATAAAGAGCGATCGAGCTGGAGAGAGAGAGAGCAGAGAGGGAGGTCGCTGGAGGAGAGGAACAGAGGGAGAGCGAGCGGAGCCAGCAGAGCGAGCGAACGGAGAGACATGGAGTGATGTTGATGGGGAGTTGTGCATTGAGGAGAACGGAGAAACATGGAGTGGTGATGACGGAGGAGATGTGAACTATATGCGTTAATAAAAGAGACTAAAAAGACAAAGAAGCTGTCGCGTCAGTAGGAGTCCTACACATGTGTAGTGACTGACTCAGAGACACTAAGAATAGAAGGCACTGTTTATTAACACGGCCTAACAGTTAACACTTGGTAACTATGGTTCCCAGTCAAGCCAGCTGCATGGTAGACTGCCTGACTGGCGACGCCGAGATGGTGAAGACGGCGACGACAGTGAAGACTCCAGCAGCATGACGGGATCCCACTCCAAACGACAGCCTCGAGGTCCCCTCCCAGGGCCCCTCTTATACCGTCAGCGTGGCCTGGCTCCACCCCCGGCCACGTCCCCTTCTGGAACCTACTAGCGGGTTCTCGATGTGCCCTTTCCGTAACCTTTCCCCTAGATCCCTCTCTGGTCGATCACGTGGCCTGCTGTCAGTCAGGGCTGTTGTATTCTGCAGATCCCCTTCCCTGCCAGCAGCAAGCGCTATGCTGCTACGTGACCTGATTCTATGTCACGACACGTGTTATAGTGCCAGTGGCTGGAAGTACCTGAGAATTAGTCCCAGTACAGTGTTACAGTGTCAGTGGCATAAGGTGACTGACAATAGATAGGCGCCAGTGTAATCAGACCCCGTAATGTGTATTCACAAACAATTGCCGGATCCCCCGCGGTGAGAATTGTACACTTCCAGAAATAGCGCTGTGGCGGGGGACGGATCGGGAGGGCGTGGGAAGACACAATGATTAACAGATGCAGGTAAGCGCGCGATTGGCTGCGCCGAAATCACTGGTTCAAGCCTTTGATGTTCGGGGATAAGAATCACGAGACGGAGGGAGGTGACGACGTGGAGGAGAGGGAAGAGGGGAGGATGGTGGCTCGCCCTCCCCGTGAGGGTGACGAGATCGACGTCGAGACTCGCAATAGATCACCTGGGAGCCTATCTTCAATGCAACTGTGGTGCCATGACCGCGGAACAACTCTGCAAAAGGTAGGCTCACTATTGGCTGCGGAAGATGACGTAATGTAACCCTGGATTTTCGAAATCCCAGGGCCTAAAAAGGGGGAACCCGAAACGGTTCAGGACTCTTCTGATCTCCAGCCGCTCGGTGACCCAGACTGACTCTCTGCCTCTTCGAGCTGCTCACAGCGTCTGTGAGACACCAGCGAATGCTGCCACGAGACAAGCGTGAGGCAAGGTTCTCTCCCATCTCCATCCCTCCGCCTCTCCCCGCGTCCATGCGACGCCGTGTGAACGGTTGTGAGGTACGTAACAGGGTGCGGTATGCCTTTTGGCGTCCTCTGGTCTAACACCGTTTGAGACGAGGCTCAAAAGAAAGCTGTCTCTGATGTGGAACAATCAGTTTCAAAGACAATGCATATATTATCAGAGTATGTTTTTTGTTTGCATTTTGACCACAAGTATTGTGATTAATGCAGACATGATTCCTTGTTAAAGGTTTCAGTTTGGTGATTGAACAACTTAACACCTGTTTTGTTGCCAGATAAAAGGGGAAAACCCTATTCTCAGCACAGAGTATCGGTGCGGTGTGATTTGT